CCATCTTGTTCATTTGTCTCTTCCTAGTGCCCAACAGTAGCTGTCCCAAGCAGGCCCTAAGGACAGGTTTAATGAATTCATCAATCAGGGTCTAATGGGAACAGCGGGGTGACAGCACTCAGGCTTTTGACTAAGCAGGTCAAACTCTGTCCATAAGCAAAAATTGGGAGAAGAGCATCAGTTCTCATCTGGAAAATGGGGATAATCCCTGAAGGAGAAAACTGGCAAGATGGTGTTCATGCTGATTAAAACTCTAAGACCCAAGACCTTAGCTTTTTGGGGGTTTTTGTTTTTTGTTTTTTTGTTTGTTTTTCTGAGACGGAGTCTTGCTCTGTTACCCAGGCTGGAGTACAATTGCAGCTTACTGCAACCTCCACCACCCGGGTCCAAGCAAGTCTCATGTCTCAGCCTCCCATGTAGCTGGGATTACAGGCACCCCCCACCACACCAGGCTGTTTTTTTTTTTTTTTTTTTGAGACAGTCTCGCTCTGTTGCCCAGGCTGGAGTGCAGTGGTGCGATCTCGGCTCACTGGAAGCTCCGCCTCCCAGGTTCATGCCATTCTCCTGCCTCAGCCTCCCGAGTAGCTGGGACTACAGGCACCCGCTACCATGCCCGGCTAATTTTTTTGTATTTTTTTAGTAGAGACGGGGTTTCACCATGTTAGCCAGGATGGTCTCAATCTCCTGACCTTGTGATCCACCTGCCTCGGCCTCCCAAAGTGTTGGGATTACAGGCGTGAGCCACAGCACCTGGCCCTGGCTCAGTTTTGTATTTTTAGTAGAGACGGGGTTTCGCCACATTGGCTAGGCTGGTCTCCAACTCCTGACCTCAAGTGACCCTCCTGCCTCAGCCTCCCAAAGTGCTGGGATTACAGGCATGAGCCACCATACCTGGCCTAGAACCCAAGACTTGGGTATGGGAGAAAATAAGAATCCATTCATGGATTTCCTAGAGAGATAATGTGCTTTCAGGAAAACAAAAACAAAAACAAACCCCAAGAAACATGGAGTCTTTCTGGCTTCCGTAGCCCAGGAACACGTGTGACACCTTGGGCAAGTCAGTAACCCCGAGTATCCACTGCCTCCTCTGTAAAATGGAACCTGCCTTAGAGCACCTTGAGGACTTCCTATCACCTCTATGGTCCCCCAGGACATAGGGAGAATGAAATGAATATGGGTCAAGCCACTAACACCTTCTAATGCAAAACCTTGTGGTTACTTTACCTCCACCTCATGGATTCATTGTGCAATGAGGTTGTCATGAAAAACCACCTGAGATAAACTGCTCTTGAGTAAAAATTTTTTCACTGCTGCTTCACTGGAATTCATTAAGCTGGAGCAGGGAGGGAAAGGTGATACAGGTTACAGATGGCTGAGGCCAGGGCCAGAGCAGATTTGACAGGGTCCCGGGGGAGTGGCTGAGGCTTCCCCAGGTATCTTAGGACAAGTGCAGCTCTGTCACAATTTTCAAAGGAGCAAGGGAGTAACCACAGTTTCTTCTTGTGGAAAGACATGCTAAAGGGGTGTTTCATGGACACTCAGAAGAAAAGCAATTCTGCAGATGTAAAAGGACCCAGTGCAATCCACAAGAGAAGGGTTATCAGGAACTCAGAACCATCTTCAGAAGCAGTCATCTTTTTTTGTTTTTTGAGATGGAGTTTCATTCTGTCTCCCACACTGGAATGCAGTAACAATCTCGGCTTACTGCAACCTCCACCTCCCGGTTCAAGCAATTCTCCTGCCTCAGCCTCCCGAGTAGCTAGGATTTACAGGCATGCGCCACCACACCTAGCTAATTTTTGTATTTTTAGTAGAGACGGGGTTTCACCATGTTGGCCAGGCTGGTCTCTAACTCCTGACCTCAAGAGATATGCCTGCCTCGGCCTCCCAAAGTGGTGGGATTACATGCATGAGAGCCACCATGCCTGTCCGGCCAAAAGCAGTCATCTTGATGATCCTTAAGGATGAAATGGGAGAGAAGGGTCTTAGAGGGAAGAGTAAAAGTTGTAGGGTAGGGTTTGGAGGATGAATTTGAGAGGTGTTTAGCTTGGGAGGCACTTGCCCTAGACCCTATGCCTAAGGAGGATCTGGGATGTGGGGGTTTGGAGGCATATAAACCAGAGCAGGGAGAAATAAAAGTGAAGAGTTTGGACAGACGTTAGGCTGGTTAATAGGGGAATTCTGGAAGAAGGTTTGGGGAAAGTTTAGAAAAGTAAGGGAGGTGTGGGGTGGACAAGGGTTTTAGGAGACTCTGAAAGGTGAAAGGTGAAAGATGGGGTGGGGTGGGGTAGAATGGAGCCAGGTACTCCGGGTGAAAATATAACAATCTGGCCCAAATGAGGAAATGGTGAAGAGTGGATATACTTCTAGGCACTGCGTTTTCACTTTTTGATAATCTGGTTACACCATTAAGTAGTCTTATAAACATATACCTTTAAATGGTTTTGCCCATTTAAAAATAATTCTTCAGGATCAGGCACGGTGGCTCAGGCCTATAATCCCAGCACTTTGGGAGGCCAAAGTGGGCAGATGACTTGAGGTCAGGAGTTTGAGACCAGCCTGGCCAACATGGTGAAACCCCATCTTTACTAAAAATACAAAAATTAGCCGGGTGTAGTGGTGAGCACCTGTAATCCCAGCTACTTCAGGAGGCTGAGGCAGGAGAATCACTGGAACCCAGAAGGCAGAGGTTGCAGTGAGCCAAGATTGTGCCACTGCACTCCGGCCTGGGCAACAGAGCTAGACTCTGTCTCAAAAAAAAAAAAATTGTTCATATTTTATTTCTAAAATGTGGAAACAAAATGTACAATATGGAAGCACATTTTGGTATGTCATAAAATAAAAATACATGTAATTGTGTATGAAACAGACGAGTGGTATATTAGATGGGAGAAAAAAGCAGGTTACTAAAAAGTGAACTTTTGTGATGTGTCGTTTTTTAAGTATAAGCATGTTGTAACATATATATATGTGAATGGATTCGGATCAAAATACACCAAAATGTTAACAGTGATTGTCTCTAGCCACTCATGCTGCTCGTCTGTCTTGTCTTTTCTCTTTTATTTCTTTGAGACGGGATCTCACTCTGTCGCCCAGGTTGGAGAGTAGTGGCACAATCTCAGCTCACTGCAATCTCCACCTCCCAGGCTCAATCGACCCTCGCACCTCAGACTCCTGAGTAACTGGGACCACAGGTGAGCCACTACGCCCAGCTAATTTTTTGTATTTTTTGTAGAGATGGGGTTTCACCCTGTTGCCCAGGCTGGTCTCAAACTCCTGAGCTCAGGTGATACAACCGCCTCAGCCTCTCAAAGTGAAGTGGTGGGTTTACAGGCGTGAGCCACAATGCCTGTCCTTACTTTTCTGTAAGTGTACACTATTATAATTAGGTCAAAAAAGACAACTATAGAAGAATAAAAAATATTGAAGGACTAGTTTTTCTAATTCCTTTTCAGCCTATTTGGAACTGGAGTGTTGTGAATGTTTTTATATTTACAAACTAGTATGAACAACCCAACTTCCCAATCTGTCATTTACATTTTTCTGACCTCTATGCATAGCCTACGTATGACGTGATGGAAAAGGCTGGTTTAGAGATCAAGATGCTCCAACACAAAAGCCCCCCAAATCCTGAGAGTTTTTTGTTTTAAAAAAACAATCAGGCCGGGCACGGTGGCTCAAGTCTGTAATCCCAGCACTTTGGGAGGCCGAGACGGGTGGATCACGAGGTCAGGAGATCGAGACCATCCTGGCTAACACGGTGAAACCCCGTCTCTACTAAAAATTACAAAAAACTAGCCGGGCGAGGTGGCGGGCGCCTGTAGTCCCAGCTACTGGGGAGGCTGAGGCAGGAGAATGGCATGAACCCGGGAGGCGGAGCTTGCAGTGAGCCGAGATCCGGCCACTGCACTCCAGCCCAGGCGACAGAGCAAGACTCCGTCTCAAAAAAAAAAAAAAAAAAAAAAATCATTAAAACATTTAAAGACACATAAAACTACACCCACTCAGTTGCGCAACAAATTTACCAATACTAGAAGGGGAGGAGGTTGGCAACTACTGGAAATACTCTCTTTCAAGTAATAAATAATGGTCATTTTGAACCAAATTGCTTTCCACCAAGTCCTCCACGGATGGGAGCCTGGAGGATGCAGTGATGGGGGTTGTGGAATGGAAAGGAGCATGGGTAACCAGATTTGTGAGTATCAGGGCCAGGCATAGCGAACTGTGGGCTCTTCCAGGATCACTGGGGAACACAGAGGCTAAGGAGTGTGGGTCGGGTTCGAGCTTGGGAGGACCTCGGCCTCTCCAGGCTCTAAGGAGAGTCAGGGCTCACCACCTAGGGCGCTGGGACCACACGACGGATGTCATGCCTGGGAGATTGAAGGGCCGGAACTGATTCTGAGAAAATGTGGACCGGAGATGGGGATTCCGGGTTCTCCCGGGAGTCTGGGTGATGGAGTTCAGGCTTCAGGGAGTCCGAAGAGCTAGACTGGGAAGGGGCTGGTGCCCGGGGCTGGGAGAAATCCAGACTCCCCTGGGGTTGAAAAACGGCCGGGGTCCGGCTGAGGGAGCGCGGGTCCGAGAGTCTAACGAACGCTCTGGGCACCCAGACCGCGCCTGAAGAGCACCAACGACTGCGCGGTCTGCGGCGCGAAAAGTAGATCTGCGGCTGAAACCCTACGCCGACTACTTAGCCGCGGCCCTATTGAGTGGGTGGTTCGAGCCCGAGGTGGCGCCGGTCCTGTAAATCGTGGAGGATCTCAGGACCCTGTGACCCAGGGCGTAGTCTGCTGTGTCATGGCGGCTTCCCTGTTCAAGAAACAGTTGGAAACTGGAGGTCGGTTGGGAACCATGTTCGTTGGGCGCGCGGAGGCCGGTTGGGAGCCATGTTCGTTGGACGCACGGAGACCTGGAATTAGTCCCTGGGCGGAGCCTGGAGCCGAGCGCGGCTGGTTGCCTGGGAGAAGCATAAGGGGGCGGGGGCGGGGAGAGGGTGTTGCACATGCGCACAGAGCCCGGGCGGCTACGGAAGCGGCGAGATTGTCCCTCGACTGCAGCCCTAGTGCGACCCGGCCCGTTGCCGTAGAGATGGGCAGGGCTGGATGGAGTAGGGTGCGGTGAGCTGAGCTGACCCTGCTTCGCCACGGGGACTGCAGTGACCCCGGCTTGCCGGCAGGGCGGGTAACCAGTTGAGCCAGGGTGGGGCTGCTCAGGAGCGTGGAGCGGAGGCCAGGATTTCTCTGAAGACCCAGCACAATCGATTCCTTTCTGCAACGAGACCATTGCTATGGAAACCAAAGCTCTAGGCCAGCGGAGATTGAGGCTCCCGGGTCGTGACTGGTCTTTCGCCCGAAGAACCTCGCCTGAGGCTTCCGGAAGCGGCTACTTCCTGAACGAACCCGCCCACCCTCCGAGGGAGAGAGGTAAGACCCTCGGGGTCTTGACACCACGCAGGCGAAGAAGCCTGTTCCAGTGCCGGCTCCTCCAGGAAACCTACCTGGCCCACCCCTAGAAGTGGTGTCTCGCTCTCCTTAACTCTTGGACTTTGTTGCCCGTTCATAACTTAGTATTTGACGAACGCCCCGCGATGTTTGTTCTTTTTTCCCACACATAATAGACCATAAAGATTGGCTTCCTTACTTTATGACTGAACAAGTCCTTTTCCCCGCTGTGTCTCACCTTCCTCTTATGTAAAATGGAAATATTAAATCTAGACGCCGGTCTGATTAGGTTGCTTTGAAGATCGAACCGGATGAGGGAAGCCAAAGATTTCATAGGCTGTAAAGTGGTGAAACTGAACTGCTACCCAGTTGCTATTTTTTTCTTCTCCACTCTCCCCCTCAAGCTAAACATTCTTTAGATCTCTTGTGGTTTCTTCAGGCGGTCTTTGCGACTCCCTAGGCTCCAACCTGGAAGAAATCTCTTTACACTTCCATTTCACAGAGCCCTGCATTTTAACTTCCCTATCAGAAGCAAGAAAAATAGTTATCATTTTTAGAGGGCTTACTCTATGCCAAGCCCTGATAAAACTCTATGTGGGTTATCTCATTTAATTTCACAACATCCTTGTAAGGTAGGTACTGTTATCCTATTTTCAAGCTCTGTCTGCCTGTAATTGCCTATTTACTATCTGCTTCTCCCGCTAGACTTTGAGCTCTCTGAGAAAAGAGGCCAGCCTGTCTTGTGCATTTCAGTATCTCCAACACCTTATTACAGGCCTGATTAGTATTTCTTTTCTTTTTTCTTTTTTCTTTTTCTTTTTTTTTTTTTTTTTTTTTTTTTTTTGAGAGCAAGTCTCGCTCTATCGCCCAGGCTGGAGTGCAGTGGCCGGATCTCAGCTCACTGCAAGCTCCGTCTCCCGGGTTCACGCCATTCTTCAGCCTCAGCCTCCCAAGTAGCTGGGACTACAGGCTCCCACCACCTCGCCCGGCTAGTTTTTTGTATTTTTTTTAGTAGAGATGGTGTTGCACCGTGTTAGCCAGGATGGTCTCGATCTTCTGACCTCGTGATCCGCCCGTCTCGGCCTCCCAAAGTGCTGGGATTACAGGCTTGAGCCACCTCGCCTCTTTTTCTTTTTTTTTAGATGGAGTCTCACACTGTCGCCCAGGCTATAGTGCAGTGGCACGATCTTGGCTCGCTGCAACCTCTACCTCCTGTGTTCAAGCAGTTCTCCTGTCTCAGCCGCCTGAGTAGCCGAAACTACAGGCTCATGCCACCACGCCTGGCTCATTTTTGTACTTTTAGGAGAGACGAGGTTTCACCATGTTAGTCAGGCTGGTCTTGAACTCCTGACCTCTGCCCGCCTCAGCCTCCTGAAGTGCTGGGGTTATAGGCATGAGCCACCATGCCCAGCCCTGATAGATACTTCTTTACTAGCATGAAAATGACTCCTCCCATCACTGCCCTCACCCGCAAGAGCATTGTCACTTCTGCAGACTTTTAGCTGCTGTGATGAACAGCACATTCCTGTATTCCCGTTACCCACTGGGCACTGGTTTGGGGGGACGTCAGTTCACTTCTCTCTGGATTTTCTGATGAGGATCCAGAATATTCCTTAGCATTTAGGCTTCCATCTGGGTTCAGGAGGCTTTTTCTTTGCCTTTCATGTCACCTTTATAACAAGCCAGCCCTCTCTGTCCTTCCTGGGATGAGTCTGATGCATTTGAGTCTAGGGCATTGGCAGGTAGGATTTGCCTATACAACCTTTAGTCTTTCTCTTTAGTAGCCTCAGAACCACCCCCATCCCCACCCAGCCTCTCCCTGGAATTCTAGAGAAATATGGCCAGAGAACTCATTCTTTCCAGAAAAACCTCTCAGAAGGCAGAGTCATAGCTGTTGGGAGTCATTTCTTCATTCAACAAATATTTATCAAGCACCTACTTGTGGGGACACAGCGCTTGGCACTAGTTGGTGATAGAGTGGGAGTGAAGACAGACACCGTCATATCCCTAAAGGGCTCACAGTCTGTGGGAGAGACAGACATTCATCAAATAATCAGACAGATCAGGGCAAAATCACATCTTCAGTAAGTGTTAGGAAGGAGAGAGCACAGGGCTAAGAAAGCCTGGAGCAGAGAGTCGGTCAAACATGAGGGAGGGGTGTGATCTAAGAAGATTTCCCTTAAAACAGTTACCTTCGAGTTGGTATCTTAAGGCTTCTCAGAATTTTGCAGTCTTCTGCTGAATGGACCAGATCAGGATCTGATAAGTTCATAAGGAAAAGGACTGAGAGATCAGCAGAGGCAGAGGCCACTAGCTGGAGAGGACAGGCTGTCCCTAAGAAACTTTAAGTGGCTCAGTTCTCCTAAGGCCTTTCAGAGCATGGGGAAGCCTAATAAGAGGCTGGAGAGACAGGCAGGAGCCAGGTCACAAATGGCCTTGACAGCCAAACTAAGTGGCTCCATCTTATCCTGACAGTGGATAGCCACTGAAATATATTAAGCAGGGAAACAAAACTTTGACTCCTCATTTCTCATGCCTGGTGAAGACTGCCATTTGGCCTTGAAAGGTGTGATCTAAATCCAAATGCCCCTATTTCAGTGGGACGTATAAAGATGTCCTGGTTTTGCAGCTTTGTTTAAGACTGAGAAAGTGAGGGTCCGAGAGTCTTAACGAATGCTCCAGGGACCCGGGCCGCACCTGAAGAGCACCAACAACTGCGTGGTCCCCGGCGCAGGAAGCAGATCTGTGGCTGAACCCTTATGGCGATTACTTGGTGGCTGAGCCTATCAAGTGGGTGAAGGCAGGGAGTCTGCCTCTCCTTGGGGTGCATTTCCCAGCTCTGCTGCAGGCAGCGTGATACAGGTGTGGCAGGTCTTCCTGAGGCCCTGCTGCCTCTCTGTGCTTGCCTGTGGGGTTGCTGTGGTGCCCATTATGCTGACTTCAGGAAGCTTCTAGCCACTTCCTTTCCCAGGCCCTCTTCAGAGGCAAGGTGCGGGAGCATATCTAACAATTTAGGACTTTGTATTTGACATCAGCTTCACATGGGCATATCCTATCTCTTTAAAGAGATTGTTCTTAGGGGGGGAAAATGGGGACCCTCCCTACTCTTAGACCAACCTCCCCAGTGACTGCCAGCACAATCGGCTCTGGTTCCATGCCACTGGCTCAGGGCCTTATGATTTGGGCATAAAGTCAGAAGACTGAGGAGGAAGACTGTACAAGTGGTTCCCACTCAGAGGGACTGGAAGGAAGGCGAGAATTTGGAAGAGCAGCAAGAAGAGGGCTGTGTGAGCTTAAATGGAGAGTCAGACCAGGGCACAGCTGAGGGACACAAGTCATCTGCCCAACTAGAACTGTGGGACCCCTCAAGGGAGGCCTCAAGTGCCAGACTTGGGGACCTGCCCTTTGTCCTATAGGGCAGTGCACCTTAGACCACCTGAGAAGCATGCGGAAAATGCAGATTCATGCTCTTCACCCTGAGAGTCTGACTCTGTGGGTTTGGAGAGGGACCTGGGTATCAGTGCTTTAAATGAGTTTGCTGGGTAATTCTGCTGTGATGATCAGAGGACTACCATGGGGAATGCTATAGGCCTATCCATCCATTTCCCAGGGATCCCCTGGATTTGGCCCTGCGGGCACCTGCCCTCTAAACATCCTCTCCCTCCCTGCAGTTTTCCATGGACACAGCCTAGCAGAAAGACGCAGCCTTCATGCTTCGCTGACTGCTGACCTCTGACCGACCGCCTTGATGACAGCACCCTCGTGTGCCTTCCCAGTTCAGTTCCGGCAGCCCTCAGTCAGCGGCCTCTCACAGATAACCAAGAGCCTGTATATCAGCAATGGTGTGGCCGCCAACAACAAGCTCATGCTGTCTAGCAACCAGATCACCATGGTCATCAATGTCTCAGTGGAGGTAGTGAACACCTTGTATGAGGATATCCAGTACATGCAGGTACCTGTAGCTGATGCCCCTAACTCACGTCTCTGTGACTTCTTTGACCCTATTGCTGACCATATCCACAGCGTGGAGATGAAGCAGGGCCGTACTCTGCTGCACTGCGCTGCTGGTGTGAGCCGCTCAGCCGCCCTGTGCCTCGCCTACCTCATGAAGTACCACGCCATGTCCCTGCTGGACGCCCACACGTGGACCAAGTCGTGCCGGCCCATCATCCGACCCAATAGCGGCTTTTGGGAGCAGCTCATCCACTATGAGTTTCAGTTGTTTGGCAAGAACACCGTGCACATGGTCAGTTCCCCAATGGGAATGATCCCTGACATCTATGAGAAGGAAGTCCGTTTGATGATTCCACTGTGAGCCATCCCACCAGCCCCTGCATTGGAGTCAGAGGTACAGATCTATTGTTGATTCTACACCAAGATCCAAACTTGAACATTCTACTTTTGTTTATACAGAAAAAAACAGATGATGCCTTTTATGAGCACAAGGAAAAAGAGTTGCTGTAGCTTTTAACTTTATAATCCATTTTTTTAAAGAGTGAACTCACTAGTTGTGAAATGGTGAAGGTCAGTTTTCTGCCCTGTGAGTGACAGGCCTCTGCTGGCCAGGGGATAGGTTGAGGCAGATGGTGCCCAGAAGAAAGAGGCCAGTACCCATTGCACATGGCAGGCCTGGAATCCTGCAGCCCTCCCCAAAACCGAGTGACCCAGGAATGAATCTGCTACAATTCCACCTCGTTCTTTCACACCCAGAGCCAGAGCCTTAAGCATCATGGTACCTCTTGGCACTTCTCACAGTAAGTGCCAATCTGCTAGATAAATGGCCTTCAGGCAGTGCTCCAGGAATCCTGGGGGGGTCCCAGGCCACCTGTGCTTCCACCTTCACTACAAGTGGCCCAATTCTGGTTTTCTAGATTGTACTTATGCATAAGGTAGTTTCTAAAGAAAACATTCCACTGTTTAATTTTTTTTTCCTGTTTTTGAGACCGTCTTGCTCTGTCACCCATGCTAGAGTGCAGTAGCGTGATGATGGCTCACTGTAGCCACAACCTCTCAGGCTCAAGTGATCCTCTTTACCTTATAGCCTCCTGAGTGGCTGGGACTACAGATGTGTGCCACCATGCCCGCCTCATTTTTTTTCTTTTTTTATAGAGATGAGGTTTTACTATGTTGCCTAGACTGGTCTCAAACTCCTGGCCTCAGGCAGTCCTCCTGCCTCAGCCTCCCAAAGTGTTAGTGAGCCACTGCACCCGGATACCACTGTATAAAAAATTTAAAAAAAAAAAATTGTGAGTACTGTTGTACATAGCAAAGTTTCGAAGAGTTCTTGGCCATCCCTCACCAAACCTTGACGAAAGATGGTGTTGGTCCCCTTCTCCAGGGCACATGAGAAAAACAAGCCTGACATCAGGCCTCAGGGGTTCGTCTCACGGGTCTTGGCTTGAAAGGCTGGAGCTTTGGACCAATGCCCAGCCCTGTCACCTCCTCTTCATGCGACCTGGACCCCTGGGAGCACCAGTGTCCTCATCGGTCCAATGACATCCCTTTTCTCAGAGAGTTGTCATGAAGATTCAACAATTTCTTGGCATAATGCCTGGCCCATGGTGTGTGCTTAGTGCAAATGGCAGCTCTCATCATGAATGATAGACTCTTTAACCCTGCTGGTCCCAGGTCGGCACACACATCCTCATAATGGCATTTCTCCTTTCTGTGCACAGCCCTTTATTGTTATAAAATACTGTTCCAAAAAGTTACCCTGTGTAAAAGAAAAAAAATGGTTTAAGTCCTTTCAGACCCTACCTCAGAGGAGGCCTAGACTTAGAGCCTTTTGAGAGCTTCCATCTTGTTTAATCTAGGTGCAATCTAGGGGTCCTGAAGCAAGGAGCACAATTCCAGTGTCCCCCAATTACTTCTAAACAGTGATTGCAGCCTTGTTTAGAATCAATATGAAAACTTGGCACCCCGGCTGACTACCGGGATTCATAAGGGGCAGTGTCAAAGGGACTAACGAGCAGACTCCATCAGTAGGCCCTGGAATTCAGGATTGTTCACATCCCCTCGGTGCCAAGGACCTGGCTCAAGACCACCTGTTCTGATCCAGAGGTTTTCAGCAAACAGCATTTGAAACAGAAGCACGGCTGCTCTGTTTGACACCGAACTGTGGCTCCAGATTCCAGTGGAAGCCAAATGCTTTTTCTTTTACAGCTGGGTGCCTGTAATCCCAGTTACTTGGGAGATGAGGCAGGAGAATCACTTGAACCTGGGAGGCAGAGGTTGCAGTGAAACGAGATTGCACCATTGCACTCCAGCCTGGGTAACAAGAATGAGACTCCATCTCAAAAAAAAAATAAAAAAGGGAAAAGAAAAGAAAAAAAAAGAAATGCCTGGGACCAGAAATATTTGGATTATTTTCAGGTTAATATTTGCTTTACCTGAAGCAAATACGAGTTGAGCATCCCAACTCGAAAATCCAAAATGCTTAAATGAGTATTTCCTTTGAAGTCATTTCAGCTCTCAAAAAGTTTTAGAGTTTGAGCATTTCAGATTTTTGCATTTGAGATCCATGAATGGGTCTCAAACTATATTTCACTTGCGGGGGCTGTTGTAGTTTTTTTCCACTTGCTCATTGTTAGTATATAGAAATACAGTTGAGGCCGGGCGTGGCGGCTCATGCCTGTAATGCCAGCACTTTGGGAGGTAGAGGTGGCCAGATCATTTGAGGTCAAGTGTTCGAGACCAGCCTGGCCAACATGGCAAAAGCCTCGTGTCTGCTAAAAATACAAAAGTTAGCAGGGCGTGGTGGCAAGTGCCTGTAATTCCAGCTACTGAGATTAGAGGCTGAGACAGGAGAATTACTTGAACCTGGGAGGCAGAGGTTGCAGTGAGCCAAGATCACGACACTGCACTCCAGCCTGGGCAACAGAGCAAGACTCCATCTCTAAAAAAAAAAAAAAAAAAGAAAAATTGTTCTATGCCTTCCAGCCCCCATGGTTTTTTCTCAGAAATCCAGAGGCATTCTAACTATTGTTTCCCAACAGGTAATGCTTTAGTTTTCCCCAGCTGCTTTTTAAGATTTTCTCCTTGTCTTTGGTTCTCATCAGTTTGAGTATGATGTATATGGACATGGATTTCTTTGGGTTATCCTTATCAGAGTTCACAGAGCCACCTGATTGTGTTTCAGAAATCTGGGAAGTTCTCAGCTATGATTTCTTCAAATATTGTTTTCTGCACCATACTGTCCTTTACTTCTGTGTCACTGATAATATGAACATTAGACCTTCTGACATTGTCCATGAATTCCTGAGACTATTCATTTTAAAAAAATTTTTTTCTCTAGGTGGGTGTGGTGGCATGCACCTGTAGTCTCAGCTGTTTTTGGGGCTGAAGTGAGAGAGCACTTGAGCCCAGGAGGTCAAGGCTGCAGTGAGCCAATATTGCGCCACTGCACTCCAGCCTGGGTGACAAAGTGAGACCCTGTTTCAAAAAAAAATTTTTTTTTCCTCTCTGCTGCTCATTTTGGATAATGAGCAGTTTACTCTTGGTGCTGTAACAAATTATCACAAACTTGGTGGCTTAGTGGCTTAAAACAACATCCATATATTTTCTCACAATTTCTGTAGGTCAGAAGTTTGACTGGACTTGACTAGTCCTCTGCTTAAAGTCTCACAAGGTCAAAATCACGTTTCATAAGGCCAAAACCAAATGTGTTTTTCCCTGGAGGCTCTGAGGAATTATTTGCTTCCGTGTTCACTTGGGTTCTTGGCTGAATTTAGTTCATTGCAGTTGTAGGGTAGAGGACCCTGTTTTCTTAGCTGTCAGCTGGGGGCTGGCCTTTTCTCTGTAGAAGCTGCCCACATTCTGGTGCTTTCTATGTGTCCCCCTCCGGAAATGGGTTGAATTTTTCTCACACTTTAAATACCTCTAACTTTTCCTTCTGTTACATCTAAGTCCAGCCAAAGAGAATCACTCTGCTTTAAAAGACTCATGTGATGAGAATGAGCCCACTAAAATAAAAATAAAATCAGTTACATCTGCATAAGTCACATTTGCAGTCTCCTTTGTCATATAAAGTAACATTCACATTTTCCAGGGAATAGGTCAGAAACATCATTTCCAAATCTTGATTCTTATGTTTTCTTAGTTATAAAATTCTTATTTAGCCTGTAATCCCTCCAGTTTGGGAGGCTGAGGCAGGTGGATCACCTGAGGTCAGGAGTTTGAGACCAGCCTGGTCAACATGGTGAAACCCTGTCTATTCTACTAAAAATACAAAAGTTAGCCAGGCATGGTGGCACGTACCTATAGTCCCAGCTACTCCAGAGGCTTAGGAGAATCCCTTGAACCCAGGAGGCGGTGGTTGCACCACTGTACTTCAGCCTGGGTGACAAGAGCGAAACTCCATCTCAATAAATAAATAAGTATTAAAATAAAAAAAGAAACTTATTTAAAAAAATAAAATTCCTATTCGATTGTTTTCTTTGTCCTCTATTTCTCCGTTAAGACTTTCCTGGCCGGGCGCGGTGGCTCAAGCCTGTAATCCCAGCACTTTGGGAGGCCGAGATGGGCGGATCACAAGGTCAGGAGATCGAGACCATCCTGGCTAACACGGTGAAACCCCGTCTCTACTAAAAATACAAAAAATTAGCCGGGCGAGGTGGTGGGCGCCTGTAGTCCCAGCTACTCGGGAGGCTGAGGCAAGAGAATGGCGTAAACCCGGGAGGCGGAGCTTGCAGTGAGCTGACATTCGGCCACTGCACTCCAGCCCGGGTGACAGAGCAAGACTCCGTCTCAAAAAAAAAAAAAAAAAAAAAAAGACTTTCCATCTTTCATTTTTAAAGTCTTTTTCTGGGCTGGACGTGGTGGCTTATGCCTATAATCCCAGCATTTTGGGAGGCTGAGGCAGGTGGATTACCTGAGGTCAGGAGTTCGAGACCTGCCTGGCCAACATGTTGAAACCCCGTCTCTAAAAATGCAAAAAATTATCTGGGTGTGGTGGCGGGCACCTGTAATCACAGCTACCTAGAAGGCTGAGGCAGGAGAATCGCTTGAACCCAGGAGGTGGAGGTTGCAGTGAGCCGAGATCACGCTATTGACCTCGAGCCTGGGCAACAGAAGTGAAACTCCATCGTCTCTTTCTGATAATTCCAACATCTGGGTCATCTCAGGGTCCAGACTTTCCTCATTCTTTGTGTGTAATTTTGATTGTATCCCAGGCATTTTGAGCAGGTCTTGTTTAAATCCCACGGAAAACGTCGGGTTTTTGTTTTGGGAGGCAGTTGACCCTCTTAGGTTCAGTTCTGATCTGTCTCCTGTGCGCTGTTGTAGTTCCAGTATCAGTTCAGTTTCAAAGCCTTTGCCATGTAAATCAGAACAGTCCTAAGCTTATGCCACCCAGTGAAACCTGGGTGTTCTGCCTAATAGTTCAGTTCTCATTCACTGGAATACTGTTTAGACTCAGATGTATGCATGTGAGCCTACACATTCATGTGCAACTTAATGGGATCTATTTCACAAGCTCTCTCCTGTCCACATTCTCGCCCACACTCTCCAGCTTTCAAGACCCCTCATTTTCCTGGCCCTTTAGCTAGAAATTGGGACTTTTAGTCTCCCTGCTCTGTTACGTACCTTCCATGGCGGGGTGTGCTCTTGGGCCAGGTGACAGGATGAAGAGAGAAAACAGGCAACAGAGATTCCCCTCTTCTACTTTTCAGATCGCAGATGCTTTGGATAGATGAAAGGATTCCACTCTGTCAGAGTTTTAAGTGCTTTTCTGGCTGCCACTGCTACTGCTGCTACTAAAAAAAAAAAAATTTTCTGGAGACAGAGTCTCACTGTGTTGCCCAGGCTGGTCTCAAACTCCTGGCCTCAAGTGATCCTCCTGCCTCAGCATCCCAAAGTTCTGGGATTACAGGCATGAACAACGGCACCCAGCCTTGTTAATATTTCTTTTTCAGAGTCCTCAGATGCATTCTTTCCAGGGCTTTTAGTTGCAGCCAGCGGGAGACACAGACTATGCTTTATCTATCGTACTTAGAACTGGAACCCTGAGGACTTACTTTTTTTTTTAACTGAAGAAAAATTTTTTTTGAGACGGTCTTATTCTGTTGCCCAGGCTAGATACTGTGGTGTGATCACCACCCACTGCAGCCTCAACCTCCCAGCCTCCAGTGATCCTCTTACCTCAGCCTCCTGAGTAACTGGAACTTAGAGGTACTCACCACCATACCCAGCTAATTATTATTATTATTATTATTATTTTTTTTTTTTTTTTGAGACAGAGTCTTGCACTGTTGCCCAGGCTGCAGTGTAGTGGCACAATCTCAGCTCATTGCAAGCTCTGCCTCCTGGGTTTACGCCATTCTGCCTTAGCCTCCCGAGTAGCTACGACTACAGGCGCCTGCCACCATGCCTGGCTAATTTTCTGTACTTTTAGTAGAAACGGGGTTTCACCGTGTTAGCCAGGATGTTAGCCAGGATGGTCTCGATATCCTGACCTCGTGATCTGCCTGCCTCAGCCTCCCAAAGTGCTGGGATTACAGGTGTGAGTCATCACGCCCGGCCTATTTTTAAAATTTTTTTAAAATTTTTTTAGAGACAGGGTCTCACCATGTTGCCCAGGCTGGTCTCAAATTCCTGAGCTCAAGTGATCTATCTGTCTTGGCTTCCCAAAGTGCTAGGATTATAGGCGTGATCCACTACACCGGCCAGAATTTTTTTTTTTTTTTTTTTTGAGACAGAATCTTGCTCTGTCACCCAGGCTAAAGTGCAATGGCCTGATCTCGGCTCACTGCAATCTCCGCCTCCCGGTTTCAAGCAGTTCTGCCTCAGCCTCTCAAGTAGCTGAGATTACAGGTGCCTGCCACCACACCCGACTAATTTTTTTTTTTTTTTTTTTTTTTTTTGTATTTTTAGTAGAGACAAAGTTTCACCATGTTGGCCAGGCTGGTCTCAAACTCCTGACCTCAGGTGATCCATCCGCTTTGGCCTCCCAAAGTGCTGGGATTACAGGTGTGAGTCACTGCACCCAGCCCAGAAATTCATTTTACATGCTCATTCGTAGAAAAGGGGAAACAAATACGGTCCAGCCATAATATCCCCATCTTCCTAACCAAGTCAACATGTTAGTATTGTGATCTAGGTCCTTCCTCCTGAGCATTTTTTCATAGTTGAGTAAACATAATTTTCATTCCTCCTTTTTTAAGTTTTAATCACTTTTTATATTGTTATACAAAATAGAGAGAGGGTTTCACTATGTTGGCCACGCTGGTCTCGAACTCCTGGGTTCAAGTGATCCTTCCTCTTCAGCCTCCCAAAGTGCTGGGATTACAGGCATGAGCCACTGGGCCCAGCCATTCCTCCTTTTTAACTCTCTTTTTAAATATTCAGAATTGGACATGATGAGACCAGGATTTCATCTCCTAAGTGGGAGAGGTTAAGGTTGAGGGCTTTTGAGAGGGTCCACGTCCTTTTCCCAAACAGTTCACGCTGTTCTTTTGGACTCAGAGTAGAGCAACCTTTTACTCAGACAACCTAGGAAGAAGGTCATGTTGAAGTTTGAATGCAGTCCTATAGTAGGGGAGAAAGAAATGGTCCCATAGCCTAACACCCTGGCTTAGAACAGGGATTCTAGGCCTCTGTTTGATTACATGAACCTTTAACAGTCTCCAAAAGTGAGGAAGCACTTTCTTTCCAAAGTCAATTAAATTTGGTTTGAGAAGTTTCTGTGAAGTTTATAATGCCCTGTCAGATAAACAGGAACATGCTGTTGGCCCTGAGGATTTCTCGGAATGACCAATGTTGAGATGGTGATCTAATTACAAATCCCAGGGGGCAGGTAGCTCTTGACCTTGAAGCACACAGCCCTGCTTTCCTATCCTGGGATGTTAAATCTAAATGTCCTTAGAGGCCAAGTGCAGTGGCTCATGCCTGTAATCCCAGCAATTTGGGTGACTGAGGCAGGAGGATCACTTGAGCTTGGGAATTTGCTATCAGCCTGGGCAACATAGTGAGGCTCCTTCTCTACAAAAAGTTAAAAAAGAAAAAAAAATAGCCCAGCATGGTGGTGCACACCTGTAGTCCCAGCTACTCGGGAGTCTGAGGTGGAAGGATCGCTTGAGCCCAAGGAAGTCAAGGCTGCATTGAACTATGATGGCACCACTGCACTGCATCCTTGGCAACAGAGCAAGACCCTTTTTTTTTTCCCACTCTGTTACCCAGACTGGAGTGCAGTAGTGTAATCATGGCCCACTACAGCCTCCCACCTCAGCCTCCCAAGTAGCTGGGACTATAGGCTCTCTCCTGGGCTTCCTGACGGCCATGGTGGCTAAGAAGGCCCAAAGGTGGTGGTCATACACTGCAGGGACATCAACATTTCTGGCAATGTCCATAGAAACAAGTTGAAGTACCTGGCCTTCCTCCGCAAGCGCATAAACAGAACAACCCTTCCTGATGCACCTGCCACTTCTGGGCCCCCACCACTTCCAGGTCCCCGGACACACCTTCTGGTGGATGGCGGGACAAGGAGACCAAGGAGGCCAGGCTGCCCGGGACTACTTCAAGGTGTGTAATGGCATCCCACCACCCTATGACGAAAAAGCAGGTAGTGGTTCCTGCTGCCTTCCAGGTCATGAGTCTGAAGCCTACAAGGAAGTTTGCCTACCTGGGGCACCTGGCTCACAAGGTTGGCTGGAAGTACCAGACAGTGACAGCCGCCCTTCAGGAGAAGAGGAAGAAGGCCAAGATCCACTACTGGAATAAGAAACAGCTCATGAGATGGCCAGGCGCGGGGGCTCACGCCTGTAATCCCAGAACTTCGGGAGGCAGAGGTGGACGGATCACGAGGTCAGAAGATCGAAACCATCCTGGCTAACACGGTGAAACCCCGTCTCTACTTAAAAAAACAAACAAACAAACAAAAAAACCGGGTGTGGTGGTGGGCACCTGTAGTCCCAGCTACTCAGGAGGCTGAGGCAGAATGGCGTGAACCCGGGAGGCAGAGCTTTCAGTGAGCCGAGATCACGCCACTGCACTCCAGCCTCT